GCGGATCATCAGGCATGAGGAGGTAAAATCTCTGACATCGTCGAGGAAACTAGATCAGGCGTGATCACATCCGCACCAGGTACAAATAGTAGTGGTAAAGTTCTAGAATTTCGCAGACGATGGTATTTATCAACACACTTTTACGGGAACAAGAAGCGCTAGATGTTTACACGTGCTCCAACAAGTCTCCTACCGCCATACTAATGTGAATGATCAGCAAGACAAATAAATACCTCCGTCCCTTGTTGACTTCTTTTGCCGTTTATAGACGTCATTCACACAGTTGGCCCTCGGAACAAGGACGCCAACGTCCTCAAAAGCTGCTACGAGACATCCCTAGCTTTGTGCTCGGAAAATGGACTTAAGACAGTTGCCTTCCCCTGCATCGCCACTGGCATATTTGGTAAGGCATTCTGTATTGGCTTTTAACTGTCCCATTCTTCGTTTATTCATAGCCTCTCTGCTTCACGGATTTTGGATATCTTTAGAGTCTTCTGCCGACGTAATTGGGGCCTTTCGGCCGCGCAACTGAGGCGCATTTTGCTTTTTACTTCCTCTGAAGTAGTGTTATTTAGAAGAATCTGCCACAGAGTGGAATTTTCACCTGAAACTTATGCCTTCTACTTTACCTCTTTTGTAGGTTTTCCAAACAGGGCGGCCGCAGACATTGCAATTCAGACTTCATGTTCGTACCTGGAATCACACCCTGAGGTGGGACATTCTGCACACATCCTTCTCCTTCACCCCCCGCTTTGTCGTCGTTTTTCCTCACGCTCTGCTCACACCATCTCACCAGAGAGTCTCGCGCACCTACCATATTATCACCTAAGGGTCTAGGCTTAGTAGGGCATGATCTCCAAAGTGGCAAACGGGAAATTCAGTGTTATGGGTTGAAAATGTGGTGGAAATAAGTGCGTCTGAGCTTGGAAAACATGGTCTTGATAGTGACTACCAACATGCTGTTCCATGCCTTGTACAAATACAGCCGCAGGGCCAGGAACTCGCAAACCCTAACCTGGACATAATCCCAAAGGGTTGAGATTCGGTGGGCTGAGTGGCCGTACTCCCTTTGACCAGAAGTTTAGGCTCTGACAGTCACTCTTGCACCATCGTGCGTGTGAAACAGTGTCTCCTTCTGCGCGAAGATCATCTCGGACAGGCTCGGCAAGTTTTCCAAGATCCAGGGAATGACGCGCGGACGCAGAATAGGGTCCAGGGGCTCCCTGGCCGCATCCAGAAGCATTTTCTGGAAAGACGGCTCCGAAAGCCATCAGTCATGGTGAGTGCTGCACGTGGTTGGCCATCCTGACTTGACTGGAGACATCCTCCACCCCAAAGTTGGGAGTGCACCCACCAGTCTTGCTGTTACAAACCGGCTCATCTTCCGTGACGAGGATCTGCATTGGTAGGGGACGCTCACCAATCGTTCTTACGGAACTCACTCATTCCGTTGTGCCTTACGAGCTTAACCAGCAGCCGCACAGCGGCGCGTGATTTACGGTAAGCAGTATGTTATTGCCGACAAAGACAAGGGAGACTGGAATGGCCATTTCTGGCTTATTAGCAGTCGTCAACCAGTCATACCCAAGCCCGAAGTGTGGAACACCCGAGGCTCGAACTCGCGACCTGTTAGTTAGAAGTCCACGCCTCTAACCACTGGACCACGAGCCCGTTGCTCTGTATCTGCATCTTTTGTTTATCATTGACCCGAGACCCCGGTAGCGATAATTTTTAAAACGAAACTTTTACCTGGGGAATTCATTGATGTTTTGGCAGATTTTGGATAATTCATATTGACCCAACTGTGAAAAACTCGGCGCCTCGGTAGGATTCGAACCCACGCAGTAAGGGGAAGGCTTTAGCGCAGCCAACGCTCTAACCACCTGAGCTACGAGGCCCCGCCGGACCTGGGGAATTGACACCTTTGTTGTGATGCTGGCCGCGAGTTTGGCGGTATCGACTGTTTAATTTCTTCTTACACAGCCGTGACCTTAGGATGTCCTGATTATTTCATTCTTTTTGCGCAAAGAATTGTTGCTTCGGCAATTGCTAGGCTTTTTATCATGTCGGGGTCTGACGAACCCACTTGGGGTGCTTTAAGCTCTTTCTCTCTACCCTTAGGACCAACTTCGACACCGTCGATTTTTCGCACATGATTACTTTCTTCTCAATCCCTAGTGCTTTCCAAAAGAGTCGGAAAAGTTTGATAATAATCGCCAAGCCTGTACCAGCTTGAATTTCCGTCTGAATTTGTAGGCTGCATATAGTACAAGAATAGCTGTCTAGTTGTGATTTATTCCATTCTGCCTTGCAGGTCGAAAGAATTATCTTCTGCTGCTTTCTTGATGAGGACTTCCAGCACTACAAGGAGCTTCTCTGTCAGCGGTTCAAAGTGTAGCTAGCCCCATCTCGGCTCATCTTAATCAGCCCGCCTTACTTGCGCGCGCGCGCGTGCGTGCGTTTGTGTGCTTTGTTTATGTGACTATTAATCGATTAAAAAATTCTGCCAACGATTCCCTCTCCAGCTTCTGGCCTGCGCTGTGAAGTTGAGTGAAAATACAGTGCGTGAACGGTCTCATGAAATGTTGGCCGAAATTCTGAAATGCGTTTTGAACTAGGAAGGATTAATAAGGTGGCGTTGTAATATTAATCATCATGCAGCATAATCCTATAGTATTTCGGACTCGCCAGGATGTCGGCTTTTGAATGCACTCTTTCCTGGCCTCCCGCAGAAACCGTACTCGGTAAAAAATGATTACTTAAGCAACGTGCATTTTTCACATCGATCTTCGATGGTCTTTTAAATTCAAAGATATTTTGTGGAAAACATGCACAAAAATATGCTTTCTTTTACTTGTTTGATAAAAAAACCAGGTTCTCTTCATATTTTATGCCCAAAAAGTGTATATTTGGGTCTTGAAAAAGTTTCCCAATTCCCGAATAATTTTGAGCCTGATCAGCCTTTGCATTACCGTTTAGTAATTTCAGTCAACAAGGTGCATGCGTTCCGCGTAAGGAAAATTATATATTCCTGTATGCCTTTAAGAAAATACTGTATATAGTTCATAAAATTTTGCAAAACATACGGGCTGTGTTGTACACTTCACGAGGAAAACGTGCGATGCCGTATATATGGACATCTCACGGTCTTAAAAATCTCGTAATTAGAAACTTTTTTAAAACCGAAAGATAACGTTTCTTAGAGTACAAAATATAAAGGAAATGTGGTTTTCTACCAAACAAATGGAAACAAGCATATTTTTGTGCATGATTTCCACAATATATCTTTGAATTTATAAGACCATCGAAAATCGATGTGAAAAGTGCATGCTGCGCAAGTAGTCATTTTTTACCGAGTACGGTTTCTGCGGGAGGCCAGGAAGTGCATTCAAAAGCCGACATCCTGGCGAGTCCGAAATACTATGGGATTATGCTGCATGATGATTAATATTACAACGCCATCTTATTAATCCTTCCTAGTCAAAAACGCATTTCAGAATTTCGGCCAACATTTCATGAGATCGGTCACGCACTGTAGCTGGTCGTTTGTCACGTGGAGCGTGGGTCCCTCAGGGGCTACTGTACGACCCTAGTTCTGTAATGCGACCACATTCGCCTCTCGGGCACCTTGCTGACCAAGGTACCTTGTAGTAGGGCTGGAAGATTAAATGGGGAAGTAATCTGTAGGCGGAAGCTCAGGATCGCACTTGATAAGACATAGTAATTGGGGCAAAACTGGATTAGCACGGGTTCGGGTGTACTGAGCGCCAATTTGAGAGACGATTGGTCGCACTGCTTATTGTCCGCCATGAGCAAACAATCTGTTCGGCATCCATTCACTTCCCTAGTGGGATGCGTTCTAGACGGCCACGCGTGTTTTACCAGGCCGAGTTGAACAGTGCGGTCGACGACGGACTTAACCGAGAGGTCCTCTGGCCATTTACCCCCAACATCAAGCGTCCATCATGTTGTCTCGAAGAGAGACGGAGCTTCCGGTTGTCTTCGCCAGATAAATAGTGACAACACAGGACTCGTCTTCCCCCTCGTTTGCATGCAACCAGCAGCCATTACTTCTTCGCCCACGTACTGACAAACAAGGTTAACCTCCCGAGGAGGAAAAAGCAGCTTTGTCGGTACTCTCAGGATAGTGCAGATCCAAAACCATACCCTCTACGCGGGGTACTTTATCGAACACGCTCTGACGGCCCGGCAACAGTTTTTCACAGTTTATCCTAAAGTCCCGCCTACCGCGTCCAGATTACGGCCTCGACATTCATACCCATGCTTTTCGAGCCGCATTTGACGCCTCTAGGCAGGCGGGCTTATCGAAATGCTATTTAATGGTATATTTATGTGGGGTAAGGTCGGATTGCTTCTAGATCAAGGGTTGGCCGGCGTTGGCCGCCATCGGTTAGTCAACCTTTTACCACGGTAGGCGCAGAGCCTGAATGAGGTTCTTTTGGGCGCATAGGGTTCGTTTTCGTAACCTGATGGCGGCCGCTTCTGCTGTCGCTAACAGGCGTTGGCCCAGTAACTTAGGGTAGCTCGAGGGGACCTTATAAATCACACGAAATGCTTCAACGGGGTCCACACGATTGCCTAAATCCACTGCTTGCGCAAGGATGGTCCTGTATATTCTCCTAGTTTCACCTTTTGCCAGCCATGCGGGAAAGTGCTCTCGTATTCTTTTGGAAATGCGCCGACTCGTAATACAGATATAACCTGCTTCACAGGGGCAAGTGAATGAGTAGAAGCACATTGAGGTGGTCTGAGGTGGCAGCCTATCCTTGCCTTCTCCGCGTAAAATAGAGTTAGTAGGGAATGATATGCGAAGCCTTCCTGCTGGGAAGGTTCTCGAGACAGTTTGATCAAGGCGTCTTAGGAGTTCACTTGCAGCGTCTCCTTGGAAGGGAACTTTGAGGAACAACGTTTTCTTTTTGGTGGTCAATCACGGTACCCCATTCCCATATAACTGTACCGGCCTGAAGAGAAGTTATCGAAAGCAACGTTTGCTCGCCACACTGTCTTCTGAATTTATTGACTCATGCGAGGGCAACGCTCATAGGCAAGTTTAGGAGCTCGAACCGTTGTGCTTAGCAAGGGTTTCATTTTAATTTGCTATTTCAGCAAGATGAAGTCAAAATCCGACCGCAAAGACTATCACGCGCAAATAAAAAGACGAAAAAACTGCCAAGCAGAACAGAGTACAATACACGAATGAAGGCCTACTATCGCTCCACCACGACCCAAGTGCCGGTTCATAACGATCTGCCCCAACCGTTGGATATCCGATCTGATGTTCTCTAAGGTTGCATTCCGCCGCCCATTCCGTTAGGCTACGCCACTGGCTGGATTCTCGGAAGTATCCTACGCAGTTTTGACTGTATTGAGTTTGCACTTACGAAGGACATGTTGAGGCCTTTGTGTCAGACAGGTGCAACTTGTGCAATCTCATGCTTAAAAATAACCCTAACAGGATGTTAGTTCCAAAGGGGGAAATTTCTTGTTCAGACACGATGGGTGACCACCGCCGTCGCTCAAAATCTACAGCCACATAAAGAGTCGACATACTTGCCAACTAAGAGGTATCCCTGCTTGAAGAACCGTGTATTGTCGTGGGAATCGCTGTTGGTGATTTAACAAGCGATTAAATACGCCCCTTGGGCTCCATTTCGAAAATTGCCACTGCAGTTCCGTTCCACTGAAAAATGATACCACCAAAAAATACTATTTGCGTAATTGTACTGCAATTATGAAGGAGCCTAGATTTTCGTTTGGCACGGAAGGCGTGTGTAATTCTCGGCTAGGAAAAATGCCTTCTAACATACAGAGATTAGAAAGAACACATATGGGCATTTCTCGCACAGTAGTAGAATAATAAAAATCGTAACGGTTTTACCCAGACCCCATAGGGACACTGTCGGAGTAGAAAAGACCTACAGAAACTCCATGTACGGAAGAATACATTTCACGGGTATACAGAAAATGCACTTCTCCCTTTCATGAAGTTTGTCAAGCTAGGAATCGTGACTGAACTAAAAATAACAACTTAAAAATCATTTTCCGAAGGACTACCAGTCGCTTTGGTTTCCCAACGAAGCAAATCAAAGGAAGATCTGATAGTATTCGTGGAGGTGAAGTGCGTCTTCAAAATATTTAAACCGCGAGCTCTCTTAATGTGAAATTCATAGAAATCCACGGGAAGACACAGGAATAGGTACCTCCCTAGTAAGGCGGTCTAGTGATAAGTTCCATGGGGTAGAGCTAGGGAGCTCTCTTAATGTGAAATTCATGTCGATTCACGAGGAGACACAGGAGTAGGTACCCCCGTATTGAAGGCGGCCTTGCGACAAGTTTCAGGGAGTAGAGCTGGCGTTGGAGTTCAGGAATAGGTACCACCTTGGAACTTAGCCCTTAACCAGTTGTTATGCGGGTACCAGTTTCCGTGTGTTGCCCAATTCATAAAGTTGATTTGTCTTAGACAAAGTCTGGTTATCGCAGGGAAAGGAATCGATCGTACATATTTGCTTAACTCTGTCTCAGCTCTTTTATCTGTGAAGCCTTTAATCTCCGCGGGAGTATGCAGGGCCGAGAACTAGTAAACTGCATTCAGAGCGTATGAAGGCCATTCCTTACCTGGTGCTCGACTGGCTAAGCTTCTCGACGTTTGTTGATTTGGTTTGTTCGTTACATTTTTATGCGGCCAATCCCCGTATCAGATGGCTGACCGGATCGGACAGTGGACCGCTGCCTCGGAGAGGGGGAAGCGAGAGTAAAGTGGACTCTGGGAAATTCGCGCCCACGACACTCAGCACATATTCTTGTCTTCAAACAGTCTGATGCGGCGTGCTGAAAGCCATGGCTTGGTAGACCGTCAACTGACGGGATAACTCGATCCTCCCTTCAGGACAGAAATCGGGCTTCACTCCGATCCGGGATCCGAGCCGCACTCCCATGCTTCTGTGGAAACCCTCATCTATCGTGCACCGTCCGGGCACCGGGCTGTTTACGTCCGTCAGCCACTGTTCCCTCTTAACTCTGTTTTGGCACCGGGCTCAGGTGGGTGAGAGGAACGGGAATGCGTTAGATGTTGCGCGAGTCTACCATCAGTGTAAGCTAGTTCACGCGCGGTTCATTGCCCTGTGCCGTCTGTGCTGCGAGACACGGTGGACGCCATCGTCGCACTGTTATGTGGGAGTTTTGAAACATCTCTGTATGTGATCATATGTTCTGTGAATTAGGAGAGGAGGAAAGTCGTAAATGCCAGCGAACAGGAAAAGAGGGCATAAGATAGTACGTAAAAGCGCAACTCAAAATGTCAACAGGCTCCTAGGCGATGGGTATTTAGATAAATCTCAATGAAATGTTGAAGTAACACATGGCCCATGGTTATATAGG